TCTATTACAATGTCTGGTTTCTTCAACACTCATTTAATTTTTTGCCTCGTTCTGTTCCTCACCAGTGGTTCATGCACTCAGATCTGGGCATCCACATATGGTTCTGTCATTCAGAAGCTGTTCCCTCAATGAGTCTCATTCTCCTCTTGGGTTAGATTTGAAAGGGAAAGAGCAGGAAATGAAAATAAAATTTAGAGAGAATGAGGCATAGACAGGAACCTATTTCTGATATTTATCCTAATGTTTTGAAATTTGAGGTCTATATGGGTCTTCAGAAGTGCTGAAGGGGGAAAGGGTGTCTGACCCCAGGATACCAGAGCAGGTGGGGAGACTAAGAAACTTCTTGGTGATGTTTTGAAAAGGGCTGTCTTCAAGAATGGCCCTCAGCCGGTCACACCAGGAGTGCCACTGCCAGTCCTCACATCCCAAAGATCCATCTGTTCTGCACAGGTGTCATTTGCTGCTGCCAACCATCTTCAACCCTTGCCCGAGCACCAGGTAGAGGAAAGAGGGCCCAGATGCCCAAATTTGGCTACCAGTGTAGCGTCAAAGGATGTTTTTAATTTGTCAACAATTTTATATTGTTATTTTTTTTTGTGCTTCAAAATGATTCTTGTTATTTTAAATTGTCCCTACCACATAGGTGCTATTTCCTGTGCATAATAGAACCACTCTAGGAACATTGAGACTCAGAAAAAAAGGACAAGTGAGTAAAAGCACCTGTTTAAGACTGCAAGCGAATGGGGCCCAATGTGGAAACTCCTTCATCCCAAAGTCCCCAATGCAAATATGCACCAGAACATAGAAACGATAGCATCTATCTTGAGGACTCAACTGTTAGAGCAGATACATATCAGATATCTGAAAGGTACGGATTAGACCTGATATTCTTTCTTGATTCCCCAAATCTATCATGTTATTTATTTATTTATTTTTAAAGATTTTATTGGGGAATTGAGGGAGGAGAACAGCACTGGGGAATTGGGGGAAGGGGAACAGACAAGTTGCCGTCCTTTTGTTCTTCAGTCTAGTTGTGGAGGACGTCGCTTCACTGGCCCATGTTGGTATTATCATTGCGCTCTTCCTGGGTGAGGCAGATCGGTCACTGGACTCTGGACAGCCACTCACGGTGGCTCTTGGCAGCTCACACTGGCTGACAGCTACTCACGGTAGTTTTACAGCAGCCCATTGCAGCTCCATGCCATCACCGGCGACTCACGGCAGCCCAGCTCCAGGTCAAGCTGTTATTCACCATCTTAGCTGTAGAGGGCATAGTATCACTGGCCCTCATGTGGGATCTGAACCGGGGGACCCTGCTGCTCAGAGCTGGTGTCCCAAGCCAGCTCTTAACCAACGTGCCACTCAACCGGCCCTAAATCTATCATGTTTTTCTTAATAAATGTTTACATATATAAATGTGCATATTGATACCCATATATGTGTATGTGTGTGTGTATATAGATACACATATAGCTTTAATATGCATATTCAGCTTCTAACTTCAGGTGGTGGGTTTGGCACCTATACTTTCATAAAGTCAATAGCTATTTTTCACAGGTCAGGTGGTTGGATCAGGTCAAGTATTTGGGGTGCCTTTTGGGTGAAATGTATGATGAACCCCCACTTCCCAGGACAACTTTTGGGCCATTCATTCCAGAAAGAGGGCCATTTGTAGGTTGGAATGGGCTCTTTTTGGCTCATTCTGCAATATGATTTTTCAGCATGAGCTCACCATGGAGACTGGAAGTTTGAAAGTGCTTGATCTCAATTTGCAAGAAAAGTTCACCTTTGAGGTGTGTTCCTCTGACTTTACATAATCCTAAAAATCATTTTCAAAAATAATCAGATTTCAATAAAGAATCAGCACCTGTAAAACAGAGTTGGAAAACTATGACCCATGGGCCAGAGCTAGTCCAACATGTGTTTTTGCCAAAAAAAGTTTTACTGGAATGCAGCCACATCTATTTGTTTATGTATCATTTATGTTTGTTTTCATGCTATGATGGCAGAGTTGAATAGGTTTGATCGAGACAGTGTGGCCCCTAAAGCCCAAAATATTTATCATCTCACCCAAAATAATAAAAACAATATGAGCAGCCCATTAGAAAATAAACAGGCAAAGGAAATAAATAGGCAATGTATAGATGAGCACACCAGATATTCAATACATACATGAGAAGATGCAGTTGTAATCAGGAAAATTCAAATTTAAACTGCACTTTGACTTGATTTCATGTGTATTCAATTCACAAATATTTAGGTCTTACAATATCAGGTATTGGTAGTATGTAGAGTGATGAGTTTTTTAATTCTGTGCTGAAAGAGGTGTAAATAAGTACAGTCATTTTTGAGAGCAATTTGACAGCATCCAGTAATGGTGAGTGCACATAATCTATGATCCAGCAATTCCACTCATACACATACACTCAAAGGAAATAAATTTTAGAGAAACTCTTGCCTATGTGAATAAGGCTATTCATGGTAGTGTTGGAAAAAATAGAAATACATTTAATACTAACAAGAAGTGGATAAATACTGGGTATATTCTTTAAGTGGAACACTATATAGTAATGAAAATGAATTAACAATAGCCACATATTTCATGAACATGAATAAAACTCACAGGTTGAGTAAAAAAAAACAAGTTGCAGAAGAGTACAGAATGAGTACAGTATTGTTAAGTATGTATTGTTTAGGGATACACACATATGAAAAGCCCAAGAATATACATAGAATTAATCATGAAGTTTAGGAAAAGGCTTATTTTCCAAGGAGAGAAAGAAGGAAAGGAATATGATTGGGGAGGGGTACAAAGGGAGCTTCAATTATTTTTGAAACACTTTTTTTCTTGAGTTGGTTGCTGTGAACTCAGATTTTTTGTTCTTTTTGTAAATTGGAAATATTCTATAAAAAGTAAAATTTATGTTTGAGGACTTAATCCAGTCAATCATTATAGCACTGCTGGAGAGCCACCCCCCACTCCCACCCCAATCTCCCAAGTTTTTTTTTTCCTTAATGGAGCAGGCAGGGCCTTTGCATACACTTGTGTAAGCTCTGTATTTACAAGAGTGCTTGGGATAGGGGGTGAGTGGGACCAAAGTCTAGCTTATCCACCAGGCAACAAGTCTTCTGCCTTTTGCACAAACCCCAAGGTGAGCATCATTTGAAGTGGATGCCTTCTTCATTGCCCAAAAGCACCCTGCAAAATATGCAGAAATGCTGCAGCCAGGCTCCATTTCCTCTCATCTAGCCAGTGGATGCTACAAATTTACACACCCAGAGCCAGGAAAAACTGGAAAGAGGAACCAGCCTGAAGGCGCCCTATTAAGTTTATTTTTTACCTGCCACCAAATTTTAGTTCACCCTGATATCTTTCTAGGTTTCTTATGGTTTATGTAAGAGCTGATCACTTTTTCTAAGTATCTAGGAGTATATTTTAAAAATTAGCTTGTTTTGTTCTCTTAGGACATCTTATCCAAAAAGTGAAGACGAATTGCCAATTTATCTTTAATGCAAAGCACATGTAATGTAGCAACTATAAGAAATACTAACACATTCTTTACCCAAGTCCTTTGATCTTTGATATTTTGTCTTTGATCAGCTGCATATTTGAATCATTCTTTCTTACCCTCTTTATCTGATAGACAATAGCAATTTATTCTTCAACAAAATCTCCATCTCTCCTTTCTCCAAAATCTAAACCTCTCCTTTCACCTATGTTGCTAGCCCTAAGATTTTATTCCTTGGAAGCAAAGAATGAAGTTTCACAAGTGTGCTTCACGGACCACCTGTATCACTTTCACGTGAAGTGCACCAACATGCCAACGCTCCGTCCCAGGCATATGAAATCCCTTCGCATTTTTAATCAAACATTGTGGGTGATTCTTAGGCTTACTAAAGTTTAAAAACGACTACTCTAAAAGAAAGGAAAGGAGTTAATTGGCAAAATAAAATCTATCAATACAGTCTAAAATTGTTATTTAAAAACAGTGATATCTCGGCAAGAGAAATTGTCATCTTTCAATGCTACTATAAAAGAGAGGTCTTAAAGGGGTCAGTTAAAGAACAAAGTTACAATTTTTTTTCTCACTTCAGTTGCTTATGAGAGTTGTTAGAAAATAGTGAACATGATTTAGACAATGGAAGCCAATTTAGGGAAGGCTCCAAGACCACCAGACAAGGAGCCAGGAGCCCAGGAGTTATTCTGTGATGATTGCAGGCAGAGCACAGTATCTGAGAGCATCAGATTCCTTATCTATAACACCAGAGGGTTGTCCGTCTATCTTTAAGATCTATTTCACACCTACAATTAGAGGAAATATGTCATCCCTAAAACTTAAAGTCAAGGCATATCTGTATTTATTGACTCTAGCATATACATAAATTTACTGTATGTTAGCCACATGCCCAAATGGGCATTACTTTTAAAGATAAACTCCTGAGTGCAAAGATGATGAACATGTTTCAGTTTTCATTTTCTTTAATTTTACTTATATGACATGAGTAGTCAACTTTATGACAGTGACATTTTTAACCCTGTCTTCAAGTATTCATGAAAAATGTCTCTAATATTGTGTAAAACAATATTAGGAAGAAAGGAAGTGCCTATGAAGCAATATTTGGTACAAATAATGATTCTGTGGGGTCTTTTAAGCCACAAAAGTCCAGAAGAGGAAAGAATCCTGATAATTACCTAACACCAAAGTTGCTGCTGGCTTCTCAATGGTAGGTACCTAGCACTCAAACATTTTGTTGTCTGGAAAAATTGTCCCGTATTCAGAAACATCACGTTTTGTCAAGATACCGGTGTTTTAGAATTTTAAAGCATATGAGAAAACAGTCTGAATCGCGGTCACCAAAACTCTGTATTGTCATTGGTTAATTGCTAAGATTTAACTATCAAGTGCATATCAAGGTAGGTATAAAGATCTCAGGTGAAATGAGAGGGTTGTGGAAATACTCTGTTTTAATTTGGTATATAGCTAAAACCCAAATATTTATGTCAGATGAAGGGAGACGTTTTCCTTCCTCTTCAAAGTCTTTTTTCCACATGTACAGCTCCCAAAGTCCTCGCCCTTTGAACAGTGGACAGTCATTTGAAACTTAACTGAATGCTGGAAGCAAGTTCTCTTTTTCAGGTCATCCAATTTAGGAGATCCAATTTCTGCAGAAGAAGACGGATGGGGGGAGGGAAAAAACAGACTCTACGTCTTTAGATCCTTCTACCTTCTATCCACAACCTGCCACGCAAATAGAGCCAAGTCAGGGATTTTTGCTTTGAACCACCAACCACCACCACTACTTTGTCACTCACGCCCGATAAACACGCCCCTCTGGTCCTACTCTTGGCCAATGGCGGCTACCCTTCTTGCATAGTAATGAGCTCGAGACCTCCCCCGGCCAATGACGCTCCGGGAGAAGGGTTAGTTTTGCATGTACCTAAGTGATTTGCATAACCCAGTGGCTGGGGGCTTGGGAACCCGAGCGTGCAACCCTAGAAGGGAAAAGGACGGGAGGAGATTGAGCCGCGGCGGCGAACGAGCGAGAAAGAGTCCGGGTGTTTGTGCGAGAGCCGCGCGGGGGCTGGGGCGAGGGGCCGGCATGGCTGAAGGCTGCGCTCCGCAATCTTGAAGAGCGGCTGCAGCGGGAGGCCGGGAACCGGGAGGCGGGTGCGATGGCAGAGCGCGATCTCCGTAGCTGCGCCCGGCCGGCCCGGCTGGCCTGAGCCGCCAGAGGAGCGGGGCTGCCTCTGCGCTTCCATGGAGCAGCGGGAAGGGAGAAAATCCGGAGCGCCGCGTCCCTGCGCTGCTGCCGCGAACTGTTGAAGGGGCCGAGCCCGTGCGACTGCCGAGAGAGGAGAGCCCCGGCCCCAGCCCGCAGGCCGGCTGCCCAGGGGCGGCGGAGGGCAGCGGAGACGCGCCGAGCGAGCGGCGCCGCGGGAAAGGCCGGCGCGGGAGTCGGCCGCAGCAATGCCGGGCCCGCTGGGGCTGCTCTGCTTCTTCGCCCTGGGGCTGCGCGGCTCGGCCGAGCCCAGCGTCGCTGCTCCGCCTCTCTGCGCGGCGCCCTGCAGCTGCGACGGCGACCGTCGGGTGGACTGCTCCGGGAAGGGGCTGACGGCCGTGCCCGAGGGGCTCAGCGCCTTCACCCAAGCGCTGTGAGTGCGGACGGTGGGGGCGCCCGGGAGGGGCAAACCGGGGGACGGTGGGGGGCGGAGCCAGTGGTTAATCCCACCCCACCCCCCAGTGTCCCGAGGCGGGGGGCGCCGGTCACCTATGTAGATGGGTGCTTGGCACCCACAGTCGCGCCGCGGGCTTTCAAATCTTGGCCAGTCCGGGTCCGAGCCGTGGGTAGCTCTTTTCTTTTTTAAGATTTTTCGGGCACAGTTACCTCCCCACCAACACCCAAGTGCATCTGGGGCCGAGGAGGAGGGAGGAATCTGGAAACGTTTGCCCCTGGCAGCCTTTTCACGCGACCTTCCCTTCTCTCGCGGGCCCCTGCTCAGCTGGCAAGAGCTTTGCAATCGGCGGGGGTGAGGGCGCCTAGAACTTGGCCTGAGTCTGCAGACCCAGGCACGTTCCGTGGGGAAGCACCTGGAGCCTCCTGGGTTCCAGCATGTGGCTAGAAGAAACACCTGTACCTCAGGGCGAATCGCCTTCCAATTTGGCTGTATCCAGGTAGAGCGACCTAGCACCTCGGCCCCAGTACCACTCTGACCTCACCAACAAACGCCCCAGGGTCTGGAGCGCGCAGAGGAGCCAGGCCAAAACAAGGGAGAGGGAGGGGGAAATTGCAGGTTTCTCTGGGTGAAAATACTCTTCTTACCCAACGAGGCCTTTTAAAAGATGGAATTCTGACCTGAAGTACAGGATGTTGGAAGAAAAAGTTCCAGAGCATATGCTCTGCCCAATGGGAAAGGCAGGCAGCAGTTTTCTTCTGTACCTTAACCAGCAAAACTTTCCTTTTGAGTTCCCTGTGGTTGGGAAAATCTCTCAAATGGTTGAGACTTAAAAAATCTCCCTCCTCAGGCGGGGACCGGAGAGCTTTAGACATCCTTTCAGAAAAGAAGAGAAATCTGAAATTGCTGTTGGAGGTGGCACTGGCAATTGCCTTTAATAGAGAAAGAACGGGGTAATTGAGTGCAGCGCTTGGTGTATGCTCTTGTTCTTGTATTGCGTGGCCAGGGGAATGATTAAATCAAGAGCAGTGAAAGAACTGTTTCAGAGAGGAAGGGATTCTGAGAGGTCCTTGAGTAAAGGGAATTTCCTTTTACCTTATAGCTACTGAAAGGGACCTCTTAGAAATAGACAGTCTTAAAGGAATAACAGGCCTGGTGAAGAAATCCTTTCTCTGCAGGCCAGGTGGGTGGTGAGAGGTGTTCTGCTTGCCCTCTGCTAGTGGAGTTTTATTGAGGAGGCCTGTTGCCTTGGAACCTGCCTCGTTCTTTGGCCTCCACCCCCTCTCTCGCCCACCCCCTCCCTCCTCAGGGGTTAGTTATATACTTGAACTCATTTTCCGGCAGTGTGATGAAATTTAACTTTTCACTGAAAAACGTTAACTTTGCAGGGAAGAACAGTTTGCCCACAGAGGTACATTACATGGGAAAGTTGGAGTGGGAGTGGGGAGAAGTGAGGGAAAGGAGACCTGGGTAGGGAGGATGGGGCTATTTTTTTTCCCCAGGTCCTCTTGAAACTTTTGGGGAATTCATGCATGAGACTTCCTTTGCCTGAAACCTCTGTCAAGCCTCTCTCTAATAAAAAGCATGATTTTACTATTTTGATCCATTGTAAAGACCGTGTTTAGCAGATTCCTCGAGTTTTAATGAGTAGGCTTGCCCTATAAGAAAAAGGGCTGTTTTACATTAGCACCTAAAACCACAAAGAAAGATCCCACTTTTATGAGCGCACACTCTGTAGAGCATCAGGCATCTTCCTTTACAACTCACTGAAGGTAGTGAAATGCTATATGCTCAACCTTGAACCTCACAAAATGTATTATTCATGGCTTGGGAAACAAAAAATAATTGGTACCAGTCCAGATTAGATTGGCTAACCTAGCATCATCATTGCACTTTCTGAGCTGTGGTGGTGAGTGTGTTCTAATTTCTCCTCCCGTTCATGACCTCTGAATTAGAATGATTGTACATCCTGATTAACTTCCTTATTTCACCCTCAAAAGTATACATCTAAAGGGCATTTCAAGGGCACTGTATTTGCATTTTGGGAAATAAGCTAGTCCAGTGATTCTCAAAAGCCAGGTTGAGGAGGGAGGGACAGGTGCTGGGGAGTGTGCACACCCCAGTGGCTCTCCAGGACACCTTGAGATTGATCACCTAAAGGTCTCTTTCCAAATCTGTGCTCCCATCACAGCTTCAGTGAGCTGCAGTTACACACCAAGGGACCGGATTCCTGATTCCCAAACTTTTGTTCACAGAGTCTTCAATTCTGGAGCACATGCATCAAGATGTATTTAGTTATATATAAAATTACAGACACAAAAATGGAAGTTAAAAAGGTGAGGCTACATTATTAATCAGTTATTTTCCTCTCATCCCTCAGTGGTGTCAGACTCTCATCTCCTCCAGGGGCGTGTGCCATCCCACTTTGGAGACCTCAGGACTGACAGCTGGGTTGTCAGTTCACCCCCACATGGAGTCCACAGGGCCTAGTACATAGGATGCACTTTAAAATGTTGCAGTGGATCAATAAGGACTCAGGCCATGCCGAGGGAAAGAGTTGGGGCTTGGAATTCAGGCCTTGTTCCCACATGGGATCGCCAAATTCAGCATTCTCACCATTTTATTTTAAGTCTTTTGTCCAGATCCGAGAAGGCCCCAGAGAGAGGATACCTGCTTCTTCTTTAGGCTCGTTTAAACTTGTTCAGTCTCACAGAGTCTGTTTCCTGCTGAAAGCTGCTTTATCTGAGGCTGGGGGCAGAGTCAGATATAATCCTCAGTATTGTTGCTGGGATTCTTGTGTTCGCGCCATTCGCTGCACCTGTAGTTATTATTTATATTTTGCAACAGCAGTTCTCAACCCTGTGTCACAATGCACTGGTTTGTCACAGTCCACCCTGAGGGGTATTAAAGGAAGCACTCTTACTAGCATTAAAATTCCGAAGCTTGTTTTATCGATAGGATTAAAGTTATTTCTGTATTAGGGTAATAAAGTCCCTCTTAATCACCTACGTTGCAAGATTCTTGATTAGGGAGAAAGAGAAGAAGTCACAAGGGCGGTGGAGAAGGAATTGTATACGTGAGTCCTTTGGTTTGTGCCTCAAAGCTTAAGAACTAGACTGAGCACAAATTTCCACAGCTTGGATTATGTCTGGTACACTGTTTTAAGCTTATAAAGGCTGTTTCTGTGTCTTTATGGAGACGGCGGTGGGTCTGAATGCTTGATCATAGTCCATACCATGCCCGTAAGTAATTGTGTAGCCTTGGGCAAGTCATTTTTTAATTTAATTTTTTTGTGTGTGATCATTTTCTTGTCTGAAAAATGAAGTAATTGGGTTCACTAGATTATATACGTCAGGCTGCTTGTAGCATCCAGAAGTTCTATGATTTTATAATTCTTACACAATTTTCGGATGGCAAGGTGAAAATAATGTTATGATCCTCTCATAAAAAGATCCCAGGAGTAGCAGAATATCGTGCTAGTTGAAGTTGCACAAGCCCGTTTATTACCACTCTCTCGGAGGAGGAGTTCTTGGTGTTTGGAAGCATGTGTTAGGAAATTTGCCATGGAGACTTGTTGCAGAATGCATGACTAGCTAAGGCGCTTTGCTGGGGTAGAATAGCCGTGCTTGTTTCCTGTGGGTATGGCTTAACACTTGGAAAATAAAATCACCCTGTTTCAGTAATTTGGATACTGTACAAAAAGTTACTCAATGTCCTCACTTCCATATAATTAGTCATAATCTCTTTAACCTTCACAGTGTGCGTATCCTGTACATGGGCAGGTTATCAAGCTTTCTCTATAAAATTGATGGTTACCTGAGGGACTGTGAAGTGTTTTTAAAAGTCATCTGTTGCTTTTTCTCCTCCTTTTGGAAGCATCATCTCAGATTCTTCTCTAAGGTGTCTTTTTTTCACTACACCAGACACCTTTCTTCTTTTAATATAGTATCATTCGACAGTATTTTCTTATGTTTCCTCCAGTGTCTGCTGTATTCCCTGGCTGGTCAGTAATCACTGGCTAAATATTTATACCTTTTTTTGATGGTAGAGTTTTGATATCTCTTGATTTCTGAATTACTATCTGTTAATTTCAATTTAACTTAGTTTGTGCGGTGTGTCTTTCTAGAGATGTATTAGTATTACATACAAGTGAACTTGGTTCTGAAGGTCAATAGGAGAACATCTTTAAGTATATAGAGCCTTTATTTTACAAACTAGTGAACTACTGATCTCCTTTTAAATGCAAGAGAGGCAAGAGCATGCTGGTACGAATATGGAGAGCTGGTTTCCGTATCTGTCAATAAATCACGCGAGTGACTTTGGGAGGGTCACATATCTAACCCTTTGGGGCCTTGGTTTCTTCACCTTTAAAACAAGGAAGTAAACAGCTCTTAACTGCCAAGAGTTTTCTATTTAATTTGATTTTTGTGTTTTTTTTATACATTTCTCTGATCCTCTCTGTTGTGTTAATGGAAGGATAGGTGTCTAAATCATGGACTCCCACCCACTCAGGAAACCTCCAGTTGTCCAAGTCTACTGGTCTATTTCCATTAAATGGGGAACTCACTGCCTCATAAGGCAACAATGTGCTGGGTGTGGTCTGAGCAATTCCCAGGACTTGAACCAGTAATTCTCCCATTCTGGGCTTCTTAAGTCTTGTAGTAACCGCTCATATTTTATGATTTCCAGTTGAACTAAATGCTATCGACAGTTATGGTATCACAAACATTTATTGTCCAGGCACTTGGCTCTTAACATTAGAGTTGTACGGTAACATTTGACAACTTAATCTCTTAGGGAAGATCAAAGTTCTCTCCTAGTAGGTGGATCCAGGCAAGTTTAGGCATTTTCTTGGCCTCTGTCAGTCTATCTCTCAAATTCTTATTTTAGTACTCTTTATAATAGTGGAAAGTACTGACAACCTTTAAGCTTCGATTTTGCTTTCTGGTCTCTTGGGTTGTACCTATCCTCGGAGCTCT